ACTGAGAAAGCAAATTTATTTCCATCTCTGTTTGCAAGCAATTCTCGTCTAGATGCTGGCTCTAAACAACCACCAACCCTACCTCGGTATGGTTCTTCGATGACGAAGGTCACGGTCAATAAAAAGCTTCGTAGAGCTTTGCAAAACCTAGGCGTGAACAAGGCCACTGGAACTAATGGTATTCCTGCAAGAGTACTAAAGCATTGTGTGCCTGAGTTGTCTCCGTTTTGACGCGCCTGTATCGCTTCTCTCTTAAAAGTCGAATGGTGCCTAAATCTTGGAATTTTGCCAATGTGAAACATATACCCAAGAAGGGTAGTCGTGCCGATCCCTGTAATTATCGACCAATCGCCATCACCTCCATGCTCTGTAAAGTTATGGAAAGGGTATTAAATAGTAAGCTGCTGATATACCTTGAAACAAATGACCTCCTCAGTGATAAACAATATGGCTTCCACTGGGGATGATCCACTGGGGATCTTCTTATGTATGTCTCGCACTTCTGGGGCGAGGCCATTGAGAGGAACGGTGAAGCTTTAGCATTTTCACTCGATATCTCGAAGGCTTTTGACAGGGTTTGGCACGCAAGTCTGCTGAGTAAGCTTCCTGCTTACGGCATCCCCGCCGAATTTTGCAACTGGATATCTGACCTTCTGAGTGAACGGTCGATCAAGGTAGTCATAGATGGCTGCTCTTCCTCAGGGGTCTTTTATCTCTGCGACTTTTTTCCTGCTGCACATCAATGACCTACTTCTACCAGGTATTGTTGGGTATGTAGATGACAGCACAGTCACAAAGAGATTAACGTTTAGTGCAAAAGACGGAGGGGCGGTAATACGTTCACTCAGAGAGGCACTGGTGGAGCGGATAAATGCGACCTTAAGTCTCGTCTCCCAATGGGGTGATGTCAATCTGGTCACTTTCAACGCTGCCAAAAGGCAGGCTTGTCTGTTCTCCGCAAAACGGAGTCCTTTTAATTTGACTTTCCGAGGTACATCTGTAGAGGTTACTGATCATCTCGAGCTTTTCGGCTTTCTCGACACTGAGTGCACAAGCTGTGGCCAAACTGGGTATTTTAAACAAGCTGAAGCCGTACTTCACACCTAGCCAACTTCTAACTTTATACAAAGCTCAAAATCCGAACATGCATAGACTATTGTAGTCACCTTTGGGATGGCTCAGCAAATTATCAACTTGCTGGACTCGACTCAGTGCAACGCAGAGCCAAGAGGCTTATCGGCGACAAAAAGCTGGTGAAATAAGTTTCACTGTTTAGCTCACCACCGCCAAGTTGCTTGTTTGTCGGTTTCTTCTACAGATTGTACTTCGGAGAGTGTGCCCATGAGCTTCATAAGCTCATACCGCCATCTCCGTTCTTCTATCGGAATAACAGACGTACTGCAGGTTACCATCCACACTTGGTTGATATTCGCACTAAGAGCTATAATTCATCTTTCATAATGCGCACAGGCAGGGAGTGGAATGCCCTGCCAGCGTCTGTTTTACCGAGTGCATATAACCTTAACCTCTTCAAGGTGCCTGTTAACAGGCTTCTCCTGGGCAAACTCGCTCCATCGTAGACCTCATCTTTGCCTTCGGGCCAGATGGAGGTCCAGAGTGAGCCTATTTTAATAATAAAAAAAGAAGAAGAGAAAGAAACAACGATTCACATACCTGCTCATCTTACTGTACATACATGTATCCTTCATTTTAAAGAAAGTAAAGTTCATTTTCTTTATACGGTAGTATTTAAGAATATAACTAAATTATCACAGAAGAGGTAATTCGGCGGCTAGCTATCTTTTAGAGCAGATTATTTTTATTTCATCAATTCTATATGACATTTATAAGTGGTAGGCCACGCTGTTGGTATATTGTAATTGTAACACGAATGGGTCCAGAAGGGTAGGACCACACTCTCACAGAATACCACCGTAAAATAGCAGATTAATATTTCTGTGTTTCGTATGGTGAGTGTAAAGCACCGGATACCTTTATTATTGGAAAATGCATTCAATGTTAGTCCTCAAGTGTGACAAGGCATCTGCATTTTGATTTAGATTTAGATGTCTACGGCCCACAGCATTCACTTACCAGCAAATGGACTGTGTGCTCGTTTGTCACCCATAGTCTATAAAAAAAAAACGTAAGCATAAAAACTTGCGACATTTTAATAACATGTTCTTTTTAAGTATTTATTCTTTACTTTCAATCTCGTTTGACGCACAATATTTCATATTATATTAAATGCTTCATGAAATGAGAACCGTAAAAAGAATAAAGACATTCAGAATATGAAAATAATTTAATTTCTTTTTATCAGTCAACTCTTTTGAAACGTATATTATACAGTTATTTACAATATTGAAATAAACCCACGCAGTGCGTTTGAAGTTGGTAAATTGAAATTTTATTTACAAATCACACAAGATAAGACCAGTCGCTTAATAGATTATTACATTTTTTTTTACATGATTTTACAACCACTATATTGTTATAGGCTGAGACTTTACTAACTAACACGGTTGATTTGAATTCCTTGGACACTTCAATGAACATTATGTTAGCGTATATCTGGGCTTATTAACTAATCACTTAAAATTGTGCACACGATGTAATAAACTGGTGTTTTAAAAAAACCTTTTGGTCGTGATTGACGCAAACTTCTGTCTCAACCAAAAAGTCTATATATAGTTCATATGTATAGTGACTAGTATAGTTTTAGCCTGATTTATTTAATTTTTCACAATATTTTGACTCTTAAGGCCCATATTTTGTTATTAATTAAGATTATTATTTAGCATTTTTTCCCTTAAGTGGACGTGTCATTGAGATTGAGGCTACTTTTTGTTTGTACAATATCTAAGCTATCTAATATAATTTGATAAAATTGAAGTGTTATAAAAACAGTACATTTATACATTTGAACAAGAAATAAATATTTCTATAAACAGTATGTAAAGTAGGGTTTAAATATCATTTTTCATTTCAAATACTTGAGCCTTATTGCTGGTTAATTGAAATGGAAAAAAAGTACTAATCCATTATGAATGTTTAGACAGAAATAGGGAAGAAGAGTTATTTATTATATAATTTTTATTATCTATCTTTAAAGCTTGGTTTTGGTCCCATTGATTTAGACTATTCTTAATTAGATAAACTTATTTTATATACTATATCAATATCACACAATTTAGCAAATAATTTATTTATTTTTAAATTCATTTACGATCAACAGTCTTTAAAATAATAATAATTTGGACATTTAGTTATTAAAATCTAAAATCGATCACAACAATGAAATATGGTTCTTTATGCTCAGAGTATTCTCGAAGAAAAATTATACGTATGTATGCTTATTAACATTTATTACAACCGAAAACTGTTATGTGGTGGCGATGGTAGAAAAAAACCATCAACACATTTCATTTCGTGGGAGTCTGACAAACTGTCGTACCGTTGAAAAAACTGCCAGAACTAAAATTTCCTAGACTTATGAAGGTACCAGGGTGGATTGAAAAGTACTCGGCTTAACACAGATCCATTCAATTCTAAAAATCAAATCTACCCACATTATTTAGTTCAGTTCAGACTAGTTCATTGTGTGAAGTTCGAAACGTGTGCGATAATTAGTTGTGATTTTATAAATTTATTAACAAAGTAATCGGACATAATTTCCGCGAATGGAGCAAATCGAGCAGCGTGCCGTCATTAAGTACCTCCATAAGAAGGGGCTATCATCAAAAGCCATCTATGATGACATGGTCAGTACATTAGGCGATTGTGCTCTGTCATATTCATCCGTCAAAAAATGGATAGCAGAATTTAAGCGTGGTAGAGAGAGTGTGAAAGATGAACCCCGCTCTGGAAGGCCTTCGACGTCAACTACTGACGAAAATATTAAAAAAGTACTTGATTTAATAATGGGAGACCGCAGATTAAAAATTAGAGAGATAGCCGAGATTATAGGCATCTCTTATGAACGAACTCAAAACATCATTGTCAACGAGTTGGGTTTCCACAAGGTGTCTGCGAGGTGGGTTCCGCGACTGCTTTCAGTTGAACAAAAAAGGACGCGATTGACTATTTCACGCGACTGTTTGGAGTTATTTGAAGCCGATGCAGATGATTTTTTGAATCGTTTTGTTACTATGGACGAAACATGGGTTCATTACTGTACACCGGAAACAAAACAACAATCAAAACAGTGGAGAAGACCTTGTTCACCACCCCCTAAAAAGGCTAAGTCGATTTTGTCGGCAAATAAGGTGATGGCTTCAGTATTCTGGGACTCGAAAGGTGTGATTATGATTGATTATCTTGAAAGGGGTCAGAATATAAACTCTGATTACTACTGCACCTTACTACGTCGTTTACGAGAGGAAATAAAAGAAAAACGTCGAGGAATGCTCAGAAGAAAAGTCCTGTTTCATCAAGATAACGCCCGTGTTCACACGTCAGTACAGTCAATGGTTGAAATTCACAACTGTGGCCTTGAACTGTTACCGCATCCGCCGTATTCACCTGATCTGGCACCATCAGACTTCTTTCTGTTCCCTAACCTAAAAAAGCACTTGGGAGGTCAAAGATTTTCGACAAACGACGAGGTCAAAGCAGCTGTAGACGCATATTTTGACTCTAAGGAAGAATCATTTTTTTTCAACGGTCTAAATGCTTGGAAGGGGAGGTGGCAAAAGTGTATTGAACTTGATGGTGATTATGTAGAAAAATAAAAATATAACTGATTTAGTATGTGTTTATTTTCTTGGTTAGGCCGAGTACTTTTCAATCCACCCTCGTATTAGCGCCTCAGATACAAAGGGTCTTCTATTGTAATCTCGAATTCTCTTATATACTTATTGATATAATTCCTGCTTTTCTGCTACCTATACTTTTGAACATTTAGTGAGATTTTTATTATCAATAAATTTTAACTAATATGATTCGAAATACTCTTTGTCGAAAAGAACCATGTGATTTAAATTCATACTTAAAGGATTTCAGTACGCTAGCTCCGCACCCCAAGGCCTGTAGGGTTTGGAGGTATTTTGAGAGTACTGATGATGAGGTGGGTGATGTGGATAAGGTGTTGGGTAGTGCGGCGCAGGTGGGGCTGGATGAGGACCAGGGGGTGCCGGCGGTCCAGGAGGTGCGGGGGGATAGTGCGGGTAACTAGGCGGTGCTGAAAGAGGAGCAGCGATCGAAGAAGGAGCAGTCAGCGTTGTTGCCCCAGCGGATGTTGCTGGGTCTTGCCTGTGCCCAAGCTCCGTGTAGCTGTGCTGGGGTTGAGCGGGAACCGGTGCAGCTGGGTACTGCGGGTAGCCCCAGTTAGCCGACTTCGCCGCCAGCTCCCGTTGCGCAGCGAAGCACTGTAAGTGGCTCATGAGGCGCAGCCGGAGTGGATCCTGGATGTCCAGACCTTCACAGCTGACAAGGTACCTCGCGACTTCCGCCGCACATTCCCTGAAGCCGATGCTGTGGTAGTCCATCGCGTAACGTTGAGGATCGTAAGCGAATGTGTCTAATCCTGGAAAGAAGGAAATATAGTTTTAACTGGCCGTTTAGATTTAACGTTCATAATGGTGGAACATTTTGGGGGATGAAGCTGTCCGCTTCCGTAGGAATTACTTGACTGATTCCCTACACGTATACCCTGGGTAGTGCTAAACGAGCAGTACTACATACTGGTGGTAGGTTGGTCCTCTACCAGTGAGAGGCCCGGTCGAGTGTTAATTACCACCCACCTCGCGAAGACATACCGCCAAATGATGCAAATCGTGTTCCGGTGTGATGTTACGTAATGGTAAGTGGATACTGTGGTCCATAGACATCCACATTCATCCTCGATTAAGAATAAAAATTCAAAAGCACTGTTACCCCGAGTACTAAAATGGAATGCCTCGTTTCCAGTAAAAAGTGTTTCCGGTTCTCGCCGTACGAAACACAGCAGCGTTAAGCTGCTATTTTACGCCGTTATTCTGCGGGACTGTGGTCGAGCCGATCCATTCGTGATACAATCACAACATAGCTGCAGCGTGGCCCTACCACGTGTAAAATAGATCCGATAGATGGCGACAAACTATACCGTTTACGTCAGACATATTTGATGTCTGACATAAACGGTATAGAACTGATCTGAAATACAGAGACAGTAATGCTAAAGGTCAATCCAGGTGGATCCAAGCGTGACGCTTAAGGCAAAGAGGCTTAATTTACAGACTAATGAAGAAGAGCTATAATAAAAGAAAATACAAAACTAAACAATAAATTTATAATGCAATTAGAAACTTATGTTTCCTTAGTTTAAATGATATGTTTTGATTAGGTAAATTTTAAAAAATATGAAAAGCCGAAACTAAAAATAAACAAAAAAGAAGGAGAATTTATGGAAGTTATGACAGGGATTTATTTTTGTAATTTAATTTTGAATAAGGCGTTATTAAAAAAATTCAGTTAAGGTCATGTAATTATGACACAAAAGTTATTTAATTTAGAGAAGAACTCTTAGAATTAAATAACTTCAACTAACTAAACTTCAATTCAATTCAAAAGTTTCAGCGTTTGTAATATCAACTAACGAGGTGACACAAGGACGGACAACTTCGATTACAATGGGAGAGATAAGAATAACTTGGTATTATTTCTCTTCGTTCCTCCATTCAGACGGAACTTGATTTACGTATGTACAATACGCAGTAAAGTAATTCAATCTGAATTGAAAAAAACAATTTCATTGACTACGAACCCTCGAATTTACCCTCGTCTTACGCAACAAGTTATAGACAGAGATAGATAATTGTAATTGAAATTAGTGCAAGTGAGAGCAGAGCTTGCATAACGGCCCTAAGTATCCGGATGTCTTCCGTAGGGACAGAAAAAGTTTTTTAAAAGAAGTTCCGCCATGCTCTTGCAATTGCATATGGGTTAAAAAGGTTTGTTTGATAAATGGGGTTGTAGAGAGCAAGTCAGTGGGCCAGCGGGGTACGAGGGTGCGTAAGTGCACACATATTTTGCTTAAATCGCAACTACTTATATTTGCTTTTTGATTCTTTCATAGTTACACAACGAAATCGCATCACTTAGGCCTTTGAATGTTGCGGTGTTCGTTGTACTTTCGGTGCTTACATTTGTAATTATTTGTGAGAATAATTGACGATTTTAATTGACAACATAGAGAAACTAAAACCCGCCTAGAAACTGAAACAGAGGTTGGGCAGCAGCATCTTGCTAATAACAACTCAATATAATCAAATCAAACACTGCGGTTGCCAACCCACTTGCTAAGTGACAACTATAGCAAATATCATATATTAGGCTGTCTATTGGGAGGCTTATGTCTAACAGTGGATTTTGATAGGTTATAATGATCATGATGATCATATAAGCCTTTGCCATTGGCTCATAAAAATCTCTAACCGCGTAATATAACGTTAGATTACCCTAGCCCATTAGCAAGTGGAAAGAAGTGGTCTCTGCCTACCCCTACGGGAAAGAGGCGTGATTATATGTATGTATGTATGTATTACCCTATAGTTATACCTATCAGTATAATATATAATGTCCTCCAGACCAAATTACCATCACGGCGGCCAGTCTCAACAGAGATTTGCCATCTGCGCAGGACAGGAATATTGTGCACAAGTGTATACACAAGCACAGGTGCACTCTCATATTCCGATGGGATGGAAATTCATCTCGACCGGAGAAAGATGAGGCGCATGACCAACGGCTTCACGTACTTTCCGAAACACGGGTCTGAAATATCGCCAACTGCTACTGAGAATTTCTTGATAGAAAAACCCAATAACTGGTTTTGACCCGACCCGGGATTCGAACTCGGAACCTCATGATCAGCAATCGCATTTACGACCACTAGACATACCATCGAGGCTGTCAGCATGATATATAAATACTATACATTATATATTATAATTTGTAATAAATTTTAGGTGTACAAGCTTTGCAAAAGAATTTAAATTATACGAAAGGCTTTAATTTTATTGTCGTAATTCCCCTTCCTTCCGCTTGTGAGCAGTTGGCACGTTTTTTTTTCTAATGCAGGTGGGCAACCCTTGCTCATTAGAAGCAGCGTCTCGCAGTCACTTCCTCTGGCACTGCGTACAATTGACGCGTGAGCGGACGGATGGTGTATAGATTATTTTTACTTTAGTCGTTTATGTGTCCTTTTCGACATTAGGTTAGATCAAGTTAGTTAGACATGTATGTATTTATGAAACCGTGTAGTGATGTTAGAATATCTACTACCCTGTATCATCCCGTGGGTGTTGTAAGAGGCGACAGAGGGAAACACACTAGGAGATGGGCGGCAGTGTCTTCCTGATAACAACTTAATTATACTACAAAATTTGCGGTTTTCCCCCTTCCAAGTGTGACAACTATGGTAAATATTCCCCCTATGAAGCAGTCTATAGGGGAGGCCTATGTTCAGCAGTGGACTTTGATATGCTGTTATGAATACATTATGGATGTATGTATGTAAATATGAATGTAACGGAGTTTTAAAATAATTTTTTTTGTCACGCACTTCCGGACGGCTAATTAATCTTAGTATTGCAGACATATTGAGAACCGATAACAACACGATATTTTCATAACTATGATCCAGTATTACTCTTTCTATCACTACGTTGTTTTACATGTTTTAAATATAACTTTGGTTATCACTAGCATAACTTTACTTATACTTTATTTAAGGTCGTTTTTGTGAGAAATTTTAAATTGAGTATTTTTTATAGTAAAAGGATGACAAAAAGCACACAGTTTGTCTGATGCTAGGTATGTTGTGGTCATCTTTATCAAACATCGATTAAAAATGGTATTTTTGATAAAGACATTTGACATTTTAACAGTGGTAGAGCCACGCGGCAGCTTTTGCTGTCGCACGGATGGGCCGGCTCGAACCGGGGTAGTACCACGACCTCACAGAATACCAGCGTGAAGTAGAGGTTTACCTCTGCGTTTCGCTTGGTGAGTGCAGGTGGCCGGAGGCCCTTTTTACTGGAAATGAGGCATTCTATCTTAGTCCTCACGGGTGACAACGCATCTACATTTTGATTTGTAGCAGAGGATAGATGTAGATGTCTATGGGCCGCAGCAACCACTTACCATCAGGTGGACTGTGTGCTCGTTTGTCACCCTCATCCTATAAAAAAAAAAACAAAATTCAGATGTGTTGCCGCCCTGAGGACTAAGATGAAATGCCTTGTTTCCAGTAAAAAGGGTCTCCGGTTCTCTACACTCAACATACGAAACACAGCAGCGTTCCCTGCTATTTTAGGCTGGTATTCTGTGAGAGCGTGGTCCTTCCCCGGTCGAGCCAACTCATTCGTGCTACAACTATACCAGTAATATGGCAGCTTAGCTCTCCCACGTATCTCTCACGGCTCAAATCATAAAATATTGTTTGCCTTTTGTGTCAAAACATAAGTGCAAATATTAAAAAACATAATCTCTTATCTGCACTTTTTCGCAATATTTTATAGCAGTTATGGCTGCCAGTACGGTGTAAATTACATTAAAATGCGATATTAAATCGCTTATCTCTGTAAAATTTGCCGTCATCCCCTACTGCAGGGGTGACCAACGGGAGTGGGACGGGGCCGGAGTCACAGTTCCCACGCGACACCCCATGCCATAAATGTGCTGCATATTGAACTATAATGTGATTATGCCGAATGCATAAATTGCGCTAATGTAAGTGCTGGTTTCGGGACGTGTTTAATTTTTTCTTTAATTTTTCCAAGTCATTTTTTTATTTTCCACTGGTTGGGAAAATACCTCTGTCCTGGGAAGAACTAGCAGGAAACCTTACAATAATTATGTACAATAATTTTATGTGAATTTTAATAGATCCAGCATGGTTTGGCAAGTTTAGCCTTATTAAATTTTTATTTTCTTCTTCTTCACCAGGCCATACAGGAGCACATTTAGCTCTCCCTCGCACATTTTAGAGTTTTGCCGTAATCGTCCGGCTTAGTAATTCACACTAAGCAAGTAGATTACCAATCACATTACGAGATATCTTTAATCTTTGAGGATCGGGGTATTAAGCTGGCGTTAACCTGCCATTTTCTATAGTATTCGCCTTTGCTACACACACCAAAATATCTTCGTATCTTGTCCCAGATATTATACCTTATAAATAAAAAGGTCACCTTTACAATTAAATAGACAAACACATTGTCTCTACTTTTTATAAAGAAAAAACGATATCTGTGTTAGTAGTATCCGGATGTAAATAAACGAAATTTAATAGGCTTAGACAGAAACGCTATCCTTTTCGGATTGTTAAGAGAGAAAAGGACAAAAAGTAGATCAGATAGCTGAGGAGTAATGGGTAACAGTGGCGTGTCATGATCGCTTCCTGTCTGTCCGTGTTTTTGTCGGCAGAGGGCGCCAGGTGTGTGTCCGCCTGTTTAACTGGCGGACAGCGAACTGCGGTCGGCCTGAGTGATTTTTGATTTGGGTGTTTGTGAGCTACGATTTGTTATGCGGTTCCGGGATTTA